AAGTGGCTTTCACGGAAAGCAACATGCATAATCTTAAACCAGTTACTAAAACTGTATTTCCCCGTGTAAACAAGGACAGACAAGCCTCTTCCAATCACATATGTCGAAATCCAGCTGATTTTTGCAAAGGATAGTCTCCTCAAAAGCCGTCAAACAAACTTACAGCTGCTCTTAAGCATGACTGCATTCAAGGTACTTATTAGCGAAGACTTTCGGCAACTCTTTGGGACTTCTGCCCGCACGAGAAAGTCCATTTCCATGGGCCTTCAGGAGCCTCTGGCCGAGTCAGAGTTTAATGTCCTGCGACTCTGACATTTTGGCAAGTGTTTTCTTGACCCGCAGGGCTGTGAGCCGGGAGGCGGGGTTGTGAGCCCAGCACTCCATCATCAGCTTCCCCATCTGCCGTAGGCACTGCAGAGAGAAACGGGAGAGAAAGTCCCACCTGGGTCAGTGGAAGAGGAGACTGCAGGTGGTGGCAATGCTGAAAAACTGAAGGGAAAAGGTCTTTTCTAAGGGCAGCCAAAAAAAAGACAACGTGCTGGCTAGTATCGCTTTTCAAGAGCTTTGGTTTTCTGTATATTAAGGAGACTACTCCAAACATGGCAATTACTCTTATAATTTATGACAAGTTATAGTCACACGCTCCACAAAAGCACTTTTCTTATTTCCCCTTCCCCAAAGCCGCGTAGCCTGACCCGCACAAGCGTGGCTCTGTACAGCGAGCCCATTGCTGTACAGATTCAGTGGAATTTGTTTTCCTCAGCCAGCGACCGGCCCCTGGGGCACAGCCCAGGGCGAGCACGCACCCACGGCTCCTGCCCAGCCGCCCCCGCCGGGAAGCCGCCTGTGAGCACCCGGCTCGGCTCTGCCCTGCTCGCTTCCGAAACATAGCCAGGCCCTCCTCTGGCTCCCAGCAACAACTCTCTTGCTGACAGCATCTCAGCATTGCCTTTGCCATCCTGGAAAAGGAGCATACATCCCTGCTCTGTGTCTACCACCTTCTTCCAAACATAAAGTGCCACGTAAGCCACCGCAGCTGGGTGATGACCCCGTCAGCCTATGGATTTACACTGCCTGAAGATTTGTGCTTGCTACAATAGGAAAAGAGAAGTTTTCCATGAGGCTCCTGGCCCAGAAGCAGTGCAGACCCTGAAAGGCATTAAGCGTAAACACCACCAGCAGTGCCCAGACCAGCCTACTACATTTCAGATTAAAGCAGATTTTTATAAATGCGTTCTGGTGATACACAAGGTTTTATGCACTAACAAGCTTGCCTCTCACCGCTAGAATGCCTGAAGTGGGATTACCGATGATGCTAACCAATTAATCAAGAACAGTTATTTCAACGAGCCTCCCCAATCCTCGATACGTGTGGTAGCAGACCAAACGCACACTGCGTGCCACCACACAAAAGCCCTTCCCAGGATCGATACTAACCGCTTCCTCCAGTGTTTCCACTCCCGGTCTGAAGGCTCAGAGGAATTTGGCTAGGGCGAGGATGAGGCAGGTGAGTCTGGGTTAGCCCTTCCCACACTGGCTGTTGCACAAGTCCTCGAGTCTCCCAGGGAGGTTGTTTTATTTTTCCCCTCACATTCCCAAATTGCCTACATCTCACGCCACCTAAATCTTTCATCTACCTGCAGAATATTCATCTACACGCTGCTATTCCCAAATGGCAGCTGTCTTCTGTGACTATAGAAAACTTTACAGCATTAAACTGTACCAATTAACATGATTAATGACCCCTCCTCCATAGCATCTCAAAAGCAGTCGGCAGGTTTGCCTGTGGTACCCCAACTGTTTGTCTCCGATCCCACGAGCACAACTTTGCTTCATTACAGATGCTCAGCAGGGAGAGTTTAGATTCTCCCCCAGCCCTCTTACCTCCTCGTTTTATTCTGGAAAGCATTTTCTGGATCCTGCATCTCCTCTGAGAGGCCACATCTGTAGCCCTCTTTGCTAAAATGCAAAGACGTACATGAGCACTGTTTTCTGTAAGATGTAAAGGGATGGAACCATCGGTGCTCCTCGGTGCAGCCCAGCTACTGTGGTCAGTACTATTGCATATCAATACCGTATGAGTGCAAGTTAATATCTTGTGCTCATGTTAGCCTAAAATCACGGTAAAATCGTGTTTCCAAGCCTACACACCTGTGATCACAGAAAAGCTGTATGCTCATTTCATTTCAAAGAGACAGGAGATATTTCCTTCGTTAAAAAAAACAAAAGGAAAAAGGTTGGAATTGCAGCCCATACATCAGTACACGCTGAAGTAGCTGCCAGTACACCAAGCATGCTGCCACTGCACTATACACTACAAAATAATTTCTCTTTCAAAATTTTTGGCTAGCCACTGATTTAATGCTATTAACGCCGGGAGCAGAAAGCAAAACGAGTGTAAGAGGACAGCAGAGACTAAGAAGGTCTGAGCACAGCCTGCTATCGTTGTGGGATCTGGTAGACAGCATACGAGGAACCCGCTTGCAAATATTGTAGCCTATGGCCCCTGGGGCTCTGAAACCTTCGGTGGGGCTATCTGAGAAGCTTGCACTCCTTCCTGAGCCCTGTTACACCATGATGGTGCTGGCACCAGTGGTAAAGCTCCTCACTGTGATGCAGAATTGGGTCAACCTCACTCACTCGCTCTGATTGAAAACACAGGCTGCATTTTAAGAGGGACGATACCTCATCACTGCTCCATCTGTTGGGAAACGAAGGGCGTAGTCTCTTGATGCACACAATCTCCCGCATGTCCTCGTACGAGGGGTCACTGGGCACAAGGTCGTGGTACGGAAGCTGGTATTCCTCAACTATTCCTGAAAGAAGCAATTAGTTGCTTGTCACTTGCAGAAGACACTTTCCACCACCCCCTTCCCCTCTCATTTTATAACAGATGGACCATCTGTTTAACAATTAGATGTACTTCTCCTTAAAAGGACTTCCCTGCCCTAGAAGTTTATTCCACAGTCAAGCTCCGACATAACCATTGCCGTGAAAAGACTGGCCAAGTACCTTCATCCAAAAGCGTTGCTACTTGCCAAGTGAGACAGTTTCTACCACTGCTGTCCAGTCCAGCAATCTCCAGTAAGTTACCACAGAAAGAACTGTTAGCATAGGGCCCGTATCAGAGTAATTTGGCAGAGAATTAACTTTGAATTAGGTCTCCGCCTTATCAGTGGACCTGGTATATATTAAAGGGCATTTCTGTGCCTTTTCAGAACATGGCAAGGTACCTTTCTTTGTGCACAGCAACGATGACAACAACGTTACAGAATTTACATCGCATCATTGCAATACACTTTACCAGTTTGTAAACACAGGGATCACGTTGCTCATCAGTGAAATTCAGCCCCTCCAGGGTAAGCGTGGCGCGAGCATTCAGCACAATACTGCAGGCTTTAAAGACCCATAAAGTCTGGTGAAGGTAGCGTAGACCCGAAAGAGCCATGCTCTACTCTTATCTGCCACCAATCTGGCATGTAACCACTGCCAAGTCATTTCTCTGCATTTAACTTTCCTCAGTGGCAAAATAGAGGTAATAACACCCATCATTTCTGCACTACACTGAGCTCTACGTGCAGAATGCGCACACAGCCTACGCGTACAAGGATGGATCTATGCCCCGAGCCTGCAGCTGGCTGCATTGCTTTATCTTTGCTCTCCTCATGCTTGAATGCCTGGTATCAGAAGGAAATGAGGCACATCACTGGTATGACAACAATGTAATAAGGGCCATTTCCCTCTGTTTTTTTCTACTTGTCTTGTAAATAGATTATTTATTTTAAATAGTGGCACAGCATACCCCCAAATTGTTTGTCCTCCTCCTTCTATTTAACTCTAACAAAACAAAGAAATCACTATTTTCTTTCTGCTAAAATAGCTGAATACCCTCAGTCCAGCAAAAATGTGTTGCCATTGGAAAAGGCCCCCAGATGAGTTCCATATTCCTTCTTCAGTGCAGGCATCCGCTGCCTTCAAACGAGCCATTAAAATACAGTCTAAATCTTTGCTGTTGAAATAGCACTGACTGATGCTTTAAAATGAGTTTCAACAAGAGAGCAGATATTAGGAGAGTTACCTGTATGGTTTATCCACATTTGTTTATTACAGTAAAAATTACCCAGAGAAAAGGATGTAATGGAAGATTTGGGTTATAAATGGGGTTCACTGACACAATTAAAAGCAATCTCCCAGCTCTTTACCTCCTGAAACACATCTCCTTGCTATCTCCCAAAGGATGAGTCCAAAACTGTACATATCAGCCATGATGTATGACTGGAAGTGATTTCTATTCAAGCTTTCATCCAGCACTTCAGGAGGCATATAGCGTTTTGTTCCTACACGGGTATTTGGAGGTATGTCTACCTCGTTTGTGTCACTAAAAGAAAAAGAAGGGGGAAAAAAAGGACATCAAACATGCAATAAAGTGGTTTGAAAAGAAAGCAATTTAGATGGGAGAAGTAGTAAATTCACACCACATCCACTCTCAAACAAAGTCAAAAGTGATGCATAATCTTAATGGAACAATTCTTACAAGGCAAGCCTCTTAGTGTGAAGGCAACCCTCCTTAAAAGGCTGACCCGCCTGAGGCTACGTTAAGCATTCAAATGCAGAACGACAATGGAGATAAGACTCAACAGGGATGCTGTAACATTTGTGAGATTTCATTAGTATTAGCCTGAGCTCTAAGGCTGGTGATAACTATCAAATCTTCATTAAATGCTGTTTTCTTAACATACTCCATCCCCTAATGCTTTAGTCTTAGCAATTAATGGAGGACACCAAATAGGTGGGGCAGATTCACTTAGCTGTAGCAAATCAGATCTGCAAGGAAGACGAGTCTAACTATTTTTTGTGCATGCATTATGTTCGATCTTTCCCAACCTTTACACATCAAGATGTGTAAACACACAGACGTAAAGGTGTAAAAAAATCTAACCAAATGTGTCATGTCTCACACATTGACCAGAAGAGACAATGCATATCTAACAGGAAGCAAATTCCCATTAATTATGTGACTGGATTTTTTTTTTTTCTTACTAACTCAAATTCAGCTGTATCAGTTTTAATGTTTTTCAAAGTTTAATATACAGCATATACTGTGGTTTGCTTAGAAAGGTCTGTTTCCCTTTGCCCACCTTCAAAATGTAAACATTTTAAGTGTGACGGATACAACAAAATCTCACAGAATAATTATACAATTTCTTCTGTAAATTTCTTCACCTACAGTTATGAAAAGGACAAAAAAAGCCGAGCCTGAGGTACAACCAGTCACCTACACAGTCATTAAATCATACATATGCTGGTGGCATTTCTGTATACCTCCAAGAATGTAACATAAATCTAGTGACCTGCACCGTCTTGCAATATTTCGAATAAAATGAGAAATGCAGAGAACTTTACTAAATTCGTTAGCTTCAGCAGAGCACACCCCTTTCAACTACTTTTTTCTGTTCCTGGTCATTGCCTGAGAAATGCTGCCTAAGGAAGGATTCAGTACGAAAACAAGCTGAGTATGTAACGTAAATTCCATTTGGACTATGACAAATACATATTTCACCTTCTTTTATAGCAACACTTGGTAGTTCCTAGTTCTTCTTGGTTCATATCCAAGCAGTGTGCTGCTCTGTACTTGTCAGGCAAGGTATACCTGCAAAGGGTGAATTTCTTCCCTGAAACTTTTACAGCAAATAGGGTATTTCCAAATTGTTTTCTAGGCCCCTGTTCCTCAAAGTAAAAATATTCCTTTCTCATCTCCTAAAGAAAGGTCAGGTTCATAAAGGAAAAGCCTCACCAAGAAACCTGGTAGATAAGTGAATGGTGAGAAGAGCACATAAAAACTGCCTTTCCTTACACTCTGAATAATTTCAGTTCAAGATTTGTACAGAATTCTTAAAATTTTTTTTTTGATACTTCAGGGAGCCCATGGTTTCAAAGCTGACCTCTGAAACAGAAACCTTCAGTCTATGGCCACATTTCTGTGCGCAGAAAAAACAGAGACTTCATAACACATGTCTCCGCCACCAGGACCAGTGCCGAGAGCTCAAGCTCCTTCTGAACGGAGCTGTCAGACAGCGGTGACTCCTTTACGAATCCCAGGAGTGCATAAGTCCTACTTGTCTGCTCTTTCTAAGTTGTTCAAACACACAACCATTTTTTTTAAATCAAATTTAAAAGCCATTTAAAAAATCAAATCTGTACTTCAGCAATTTGATTTGTAGGAAATGAAACAAAAGGCAACCCAAATGGGGTGCTTTTCAATAAATCCCAATTAGTAACTTGTGCAATGATTGGTATTATTCTATATAAGTTGTGAGTGAATTATTTTGGGATCAGACAAGCTGAAAGCTTCAGTGACAAGTTTACTGACATGACTTCAACCTTTTAGCGTGTGGTAGCAATATCAGGTTGCTATTGAGGGTGAAGTGATGAAAACCGAACCTTTAAGCAAATGCAACTAATGTGCTCAATAATTAAAAAGCAACTATTTATACACCTGCATTATGTGTTTATGCGACATCCTCATCTACACAGGTAGCCCCACCTCACATACAGATGAGCATAGCGTGAAAGGTATGCACGTACACTGCAGGTGCTCACACGTTGTCAATCAACAACTAAACCAACGTTGGCGTCTGATTTACCAACTTTCCCTCACCCTCCTCACTTCTACTCACCTGATAAATTTAACCGCCAAGCCCAAATCTGCTATACAGCAGGTGCCGTTCTTTTTCACCAGGATATTCTTACTTTTTAGGTCACGGTGAGCAATAGCGGGTTTGCCCTGAGTACTGAAGATCTCAGTGTGCAGGTGGCACAAGCCACTGACGGAGGAGTAAGCCAGTTTTAGCATGGCTTTTGTGTCCAAGGTAGTAGATTTTAGATAATCATAAAGTGAGCCATTCTCATGGTAGTCGGTGATGAGATACAGCTGGGTCCAAGATCCTGTACCTTTAATGTCTGCGGCAATGAATCCTGCAAAAAAGAGAAGATTTTCAAATTAATACTTCTCAGGGCTTTTTTTGACTGCTCAGAACTCTGGACTGTCAGCCACTTCAATAGTTTTATTTAAATAACATATCTAATTTCTTTCATCTTACTTTCATGCAACTATGCCTCACCTCTAGCCTTTAACACATTTTCAGAAAGCCCAGATATGGAAATAAAGGTGGCAGAAACAGACGTATGGTGTTTGGAATAACAGCCCCTAAACCCCGTTCTTTTTTAACTCTTATTTATGCTTCAGTAATCCTTGAAATATCTTTCTTTTGAAAAGTGCTGGATGGCTAATCGCAGAGCACAGCAGGTAACAAAGCACATAGGAAAGGGCATCAGACAGCAGCAAATACAAAATTATTAAACTTAAGAAATCTGTACACTAGCAAATAATTCTCTTTAATTTCACTCACCAAGAATATTTTCATGCCTCATCAGGACAGTCTGGTAGATTTCTGTTTCTCTGAACCAGCTGGCCTCCTCCGTGGTAAAAAACACTTTCACGGCTACCTTTTCGCCACGCCACTTTCCCATCCAGACTTCTCCATAGCGACCTTTTCCAATCTGCTTTACCATCTGAATCTGTTTTGCGATGGTCCTTTGAACCTGTGAGATGCCGAGACAGGCGGTTACAACTTGCTCCGCAGAAACCTTCTGCATTCTCCTCCCTCCTTCCATGTCTCCTTCCCGCGCAGCAAGCCCAGCGGGAAGGGGAACACGCAGCCGTTGCGACGTGGACTGCAGCGAAGCTCCACAACGTGGATGCTCCCTGTTTCCCCCAGGACGCAGTGCCACTGTGAAGAAGTCCTTCCATACATTCCCAAAACGCACCATTTTGGCCTCTCAAGAAAGTAAATCGGCCCGCGTGAAGGAAACATTTGACTGCTAGCCTTGAAATTTTTATTTTCCTGTGGGAGGTTGCCACTTTGTGGAAATTTTTTTTGTTGTTTTTGGAAAAGCTTTGACAGAAAACACTCCTGGCCACCCCAACCCAAACCAAATTCCAAAGGGATAGGTAACACATTTTAAATTAAAACGGGGATGTTTGTTACATACTCAACACCGTTGAGACTCAAGGCTAGGGCTCACAAGAGCCAAAAGCATATCGGCGCTCCAAAACTCGCAAAATTACTGAGAGCAGCTTACTATCACCTTCCTTGAAAATCCCATGCCTAATAATTTCAAAATGTAAGTTTGGTGTTAGGAACCTCAACCACTACTTAGCACAGTTAGAACCCACGTGCCTACATTAATTTTAATAATCATCATTACATAGTAATAAAGAGTAAGAAATTTTTTTCCAAACATATGGAAGCACAACTTTAAATCTGCCCTTTCTAGTGTCCGTACCAGCTTTGTCACTGGCTGCACTGTGAGCTGATGCTAAAGTCAAACCATTTGTGCAGCTGTAGCATAAGATCAATGTACTCGGCAGCACTGCAGAGATACCCTTCATAAGGATGGCAGACCCCACGAAGCAGATGGACTGATTCTACATTTAACAAGCTTTTATGACTACAAAAAATCTTGGACAAATGGAGACTAATATATTCCCACAGGATTGGAACATGTCCGCAGATCACATATTTCTAGAAGTTCACACATAAAAACTCAAGTAGATGCTGCAACACAACCACTGGTGTTCATGGTTGACTCAGCCTCACCCGAGTACAACAGGAGATAAAAACGTTACCCTCACTTACTGTGCTTCAGTACTGCCAGTTTAATCCATAGCTTATGATTTTTGGTTTGGTAGGATTTTACAAGATTTTGAAAGAAAATAACTTTATCGCCTCCAGTGCAAGGAGGTTTTCATCTGGCCCAAGCAATTGGCAAAATCTGGACAAGTGCAAATTTGAGATCTCTCAGTTTTGCCACCATCCCTATACAAATTTCAAGCAGCTTATTGCAGCAAGCGTACGCTGTCTGAATCCCTATGAAATCATACGCATTTCATGCAATCCCAAATATTTTTGCAATCTTGGCTGACAGAAATGATCAAAACTTGATTTTAAAAGCATTTGCTTCTTTTTTTACCCCTGGGAGGTCCAGTGGAAACCACCAGTTTGGTAATGCAGCGCAGGACTGCCACAACCCCACTGCAGCATGAATGTATGTCCAAAGACAAACTCAAAACCTATTAGGTAAGGTCTACTATCATTTATTTTGTAAATAAATTACTGGTTTTCATATTAGACAATTTAAAGAAGAAAAACATACAGTGGCATTTATGCAAAGCTATTTCAGAAGTCCCAGCTTTCTTCTTCTGTCATTTAAACAGAATTCCGTTTTTTCAACCCTGCAATGTATTATTAGACTTCCAAGATGGTGGCTTCAGTGCCATTATTTTTGATTAACATCAGTGAAAGCCAAGAGCAGAGATTAGCCTTAATTTTTTAAATTGATTTATTCTCTTTTATACTCTCATATAGTGATTGAACAACAGTTACATTACATTGGAATTTTGCTTTAACATTTTGTAATGTCATTTTAGCATTGTTGCTTTCTATTTTGCCCATTTTAAAAATGCATCCTGAACAATAATGCAGTTATATCAAATAACTTAATTTGCGTAAATATATGTAATGGCATCATAAAGTACATGGAATTACAATACTTAATGATGAAAAGTTCCTTATTAAATTACATTAAGAAGATGAAAAACACATTTCTGTTATGGGTTTTCAGGCGGCAGAATACTATGTGAAGGGCCTTAACCTGGTTTCCTCTTGCTAGAACTGGTCAAATGATTTCCTATGAACAATTTATTTTATTTTAAGGAATTTAGCCCTTTCTTGAATCATAAATGGATTACGATTTCTAAAACAAATTGGTTAATCAAAATTGTTGGATGAACTGATTTCATAAGCATGCTGAATGATGTGTTCATGTGAATTATTTACACTGAGTGGGGTTGGACTTCTTAAATTTCTTTGCAAATCTGTATATTTTGCTGCTTGAGCTCTGTGAGCAGCCAGGTAAGGTCACATGGCCCTTTGTTTCCTCTCCCTGACTCCCAATTACCAACTATTTCTACTTTCTGCATTCTAGTTTTCTGATGTTCAGCTACTGCAGATGAAAATTCAGACAAACCAACCTTTTGTAACTTCAATATTTTGAACAGAGAACTTCATACCCATGGCTGGGATGCAGTCCCTTGAAAAGCGAAATTCATTGGAAGAGGAATTAGGAAAAAAGTAAGTGAAAAGATAGAGACCAAACTGTAATTCAGCAAACTCTTCATACTGACGACTGAAATAAATGTCCCCAGTGTCTAATCTCCTTCCCCGATTTTGCATGTGGATTCACGGGGGCAACAGCTTCGCCTACACTTCTTGCTCTGTCAAGGCCAATGGGGTTCTCCTTGCTTGCACAGACTTGATTGCGCACCCCAGTTTGTTGGCTCAAAACCTTTATTGACAACTTACTGTATTTTTTTTCTTGGTTGAAAATTTGATTGGCAGCATTTGACCTGCAGCAAACTTTTCTGTCAGAGGTATGAACAGGTCAGGAGAAAGAACGCTGGCTGAATGTCACAGTATCGATAAAAATCTTGGTTAATGCTTGGTTTTGGTATAATATTTGTACCCATTAGAATAAATGTTCTGCACAGAAGGAAAACATACTGTTTAGCATGAAGTGACATTTTGTAATAAATTTGCAGCTTACTTTCCTGAAATAATAGCTTTGGATGTTTCAGTCTTTGCATAAGAAATAATACAGTTAAAAACAAACTCTTCCACAATCAAGTCTAGAGCATTATTGCTAGGCACTTTCTATATACTTGTTTCAGGCGTGGGCCCAGAGGTATTAATCTGTGCATTTCTAGAGAGCCTGTAGCGGTTGTAGCTGTCTGGGAAATGCAGGAAACATCTATTACCAAGTGCAAGATTCATTATAGCTCTCGTTTCTCTTCTCTTTCACAGAAAAACACTACTTAAAGGGAAAGTCTGGGAAAAAAATGTACGCATTTTCGTAGG